TATGTATATATATATATATATATATATGTATATATATATATTGCCCACTTCCCACCCTCCCAGTAACAGAAATGCTGCCTCTCCCAGGGACTAGGGTGACATTTCCATCCTTTGAAATGGTGCACGCCACTGTCACTCTCCTAGCTCCTCAAAGGCCTTGGGCCACCTGTGCTGCAGATTATTCCTCACTTAACCTTCCCCGGCCTTTCCCTTTCATTCGGGAGGTGTTTAATTACCTTGGATTCACAACGCTGCACTTCAGGTGAGCCTCTCCTAATGGCCTCATTATCATTTTACACAAAGAAGTCGTTGCTGATTGTAACTGAGCAAATACGAGTGTGTGCCTTCCCGCCTGCCCCAGCTGGTCTGAAACCAGCCAAGTGGTCCTGGGCTCTCGCTGCCCCCGTGATCACTTAGGCCAAGACTTCGGAAGACCTCTCCTCACCCGGCAACATGGAGAAGCTTCTGTCAGCACTTCCAACTTGGAAACTTCAAGCATATGTGCATCTGATAACCGGTGATAGCATTTTGTCCTTTAAATAAAAGCGAGGGCCGATGAAGGCTTAACATAACCCACAGTCATACATCTAAAACTGAACTTGCCGGGAGTACTCGCGGGGGTTCTGGTCAAATCATTAACATCGGGGTTCGCTGGGCATAATCTGGGGGCGATGGAAATGCTGATGAGGATGGCTTCCTCCTTTAATGAGGCATCGGGAGGAAGACAGAAACAAACAGAAGAGGATACTAAATCGAATGCATCAGCTTCTCTCCCCCCCACCCCCCATCCCATCTTGGTCACTGCAGTGTCACCCAGCTCCTCTTTTCCAGGGACAGAGGCAGATGTTAGATTCCACACTTCCCCTTCCTCACCCACTACCATCCTCCACCACCCCAAACAGGTACCAAATCCGCCCTCTCCTCTCCGTGCCCATGACCATGGCACTGTGCCATCCAGCTCCATCCACCCTCTCTGGCCCAGACTGGTGGAGTAGCTTCCTAGACGAGCTCTCGGTCTCCAGTGTCCCCTCAGTGCCACCCACCCACAGCTGTCCCAGTAATGTCAGAAACATACGAATCCAGTCACTTCAATCCCTCTGTCAAAATCCTTCAACGCCCCCACCCTTGGCCATCACCACCTGCAGAAAAACATCGCAATGTCTCAAGAGTCGTTGTTGACACTCTGCTCAACTGGCCTCACTTCCCTCAGCCCCATTTAACATATATTGGACGGGTGGTGAATTACTATCCAGAAGCCTACACCACTGTCCAGCCCATACACATGGTGACTACTCAGACAGCGTGGTCTCTTGTCCCTTCCTTTCCTTTTTGTGAACATCTATGCACCCTCTGAGAGAGCATCCAGATGCCCATAAACGGGGGCCAAGGAAGTAAATTATACCACATCCTCACGATGAAATATTGCATAACTGCTAAGAAGTATGTGATAGTAGTTGAACTGATGTGAAAAGATGTCCACCAAATACTGCCAAGTGGGAGGAAAAATGAAAGTTGCGGAGCAATATATACAGCATGAATCATTTAAAAATTTATATATGCATATACATACATATATGCTTATATATGTAGTAAAAATCTAAAATGCCATGTATCAAACTTTAAGTATGCAGGGATGCTTTTGTTTTCCGTTTTATGCACTTTTGATTGTTTTGATTATCCTTTATTAAAAAGCATATGTTCCTTTTATAATAAAGAATTTAAATGAGGTATTTTTCCTTAATGGTCAAATGAAAGATTGCCCTGGGTTAAGGGAAAAGAGGGAATCCAGATGTCCCCTCATCTGCAAAGCCTTCCCTGACCCCTAAAACAGGGTTAATGACACCCCGCTGAGGCCGCTTGGACCGCAAAGGTGAACTGGGGCTACCACGTCTCCTGCTCGACTGAGTTCCCAGAAGGGCCAGCAGTGCTTGGCTGGTGTAACCATTCCGCCCTTGCTGCTACATGAAGGAACAGGCAAAAGAATGTTTTGATATCCTAAGTGGCATTTCCAGGGGCTGAGCCATTCTGCTTGGAGGAAAGTCTAGGATCACATTCTTCAAGCAGACTGATCACTACAAGAACCTGGTCTCAGTTGGGAAGGACTGGGGGAGAAACAGATACCCACCCATTCCCCTTCTGCAGAAAGCCACCACTTAGATGCAACCAGAACTGCAGGGAAAACGAACCTCCGGATGCTGAAGCAGTTGAGGCGGACAGCCAGCCCAGTCTTAACACTGTAAATGCAACATGTGCAATGACAAAAGCAGTATTTCCCACCCCACCCCCACCTCCCACCCCTGTACCGTGTTCTTGCTTCACCTGGTCACTGAAGGCTCTACCTCACAGATCTTGATTTCACCTGCTTCTCTGTCCCCATGCACTCCTCAGGTGGCAGGGTAGCCTGACTCACCAAAT